AGATTGAAGGAGTTGTTAAATTCTGAATTTGAAATGAAGGAACTTGGGCATGCTAGGAAGATACTTGGCATGGAAATTAAGAGGAAAAGGGACAGTAAAGTGTTGTATCTGTCTCAAGAAAATTACATCAAAAGGGTCTTAGACAGATTTGAGATGACAGCTGCAAAGCCAGTGGTAACACCACTTGCACAACATTTCAAGTTATCTAAGGAGCAAGAGCCACAAACAGATGAAGAATTAGCTTACATGCAAAGACTGCCCTATTCTTCTGCAATTGGGAGTATCATGTATGCAATGGTGTGTTGCAGACCAGATTTGACATATGCTATGAGTGTCATTAGCAGGTTTATGGCCAATCCTGGTAAACCACATTGGGAAGCTATAAAATGGGTCTTGAGATATCTTTGTGGAACTACTGATGTGGGGCTGAAGTATATTAGTCAAGGTGGAGTTCCAGAGATAGAAGGTTTTGTTGACTCTGATTTTGCGGGGAGCATTGATACAAGGAAATCCATAACTGGATATGTTTTCAAAGTGTTTGGAAACACAGTTAGTTGGAAAGCAAATTTGCAAGGGGTGGTTGCTTTATCATCTACTGAAGCTGAATACATGGCAGCATGCGAAGCAGTAAAGGAAGCCTTATGGTTAAGGGGGTTAGTTTCGGAATTGCTATTGGGTGAGGAGCTTGAAACTACTTCGATTTACTGTGATAATCAGAGTGCAATATGTTTGACAAAGAATCAAGTGCATCATGAAAGAACTAAACATGTTGATGTGAAGTTCCATTTTGTCAGAGATGTGGTTGCAAGTGATGTTGTAAAGATTGAAAAGGTGGCTACAGAAGAAAATGCAGTGGACATGCTTACAAAAGCGTTACCTTCAAATAAATTTGAGTTTTGTTTGAAGTTACTGAATGTTACAGATACTGGTTAAAACTATAATGTTACTGAATATAAGACCAAGGTGGAGATTGTTGTAATTGGTCTTATATATATTCAGCTCTGTAACTAATTTTGAATAATAATACATACAATAAAATTCATATAACAGTTTTTCTTCTTTCGTTTCTGATTCTTACGTAACACTCCCCCAATCACTAACAATGCTCACACCTTTTTGACTCCATGAATTTATAATTGGTTACAGTAGATTCTCCACATGGTTTCTTTCCTTTTGTAAGTAAGGTAGTTCTCAACTTATTGTAACCTGGTGGTTGATACCTACGTTGAGATATAGAATTATTGGCAACATAATGAAAGCTAAATTAAATGGTAGCTCTGTAGTGTAAAACATCCTTGTAGTCACAAAAAAGAAACTCCCAGATGACCTTTCACTTTTGAATTAATTACCACTAATATTTATCTGTTGTCCTTCATTAGAACTAGGGGTAAAGGGACATTTTTTTCCCTTGAATTCTCTAGTTTCAATGATGCCTCATTTTCCAACCTTTTAAACTCAACAAGTGTTTTAGGAGTTATCTTAGAATTCTATCCAACACTAGTTCCTACAATTTTTAGTGAGTGAATCTTTACTCAAGTGTAAGATTCATTGAATAGAACTTCATAAAAGTTGAATTTGGTATAAAAATTTCTGCCTCCAAAAACCTTTCTTAATGTAACATATCTCCATAAAGGTTTGGTTTCTTCCTCTTTTTCTGTACTCTCTACAAAAAAAAAAATAACATTCATGCTCTATAATTAAAAAAAATGAAAAACTAGAGACATAAAAATAGTAAAACATCATAGATTGGTTTCATGATTTGTAAATATAAAAAAGGGACCAAAAATAGACATAAAAATAATAAAAAGCATCACAAATTGGTTGCATGCTTTATAATGAAAAAAAATTAAAAAAAATAGTGACATAAAAATAATCGAGCAACATAAATTGGTTTCATGCTTTGTAATGGAAAAACAAAACAAAAAACAAGATATATGAAAATAATGGAAAATGAAAAAAAAAACATAAATGTAATAGCAAATGAAAAAGTGAAGAATAAAGACACACGTTCACAAATGTTCCATTCATCAATAATTAGAGAAAATGAAAAACAAAAGTTGGAAATAAAGGACTCTAGCATGCTACGGCGGTATAACGGTTAGACTAGCGTAGTGGATGGAGACTAAACAATGTTCCAATTTTTTAGCTAAACAGTGTTTTGGTTCTTTAACGTAATGACATTCTAGTTTAACATTTTCGTTCCACATTTGTGTATCTTTAGTTTTCAATGTGTCTGTGTGTCTCTAGTTTTTGTTGTGCGTTTATGCATTTGTGTTTCTCGTTTTCGTTTTGCATTTGCAAGTCTTTGGTTTTCATTTGTGTCTACACGTTTGCGTTTCTGGTTTTCATTATTCTATTTGTATTACTGGTTTTCATACTATGATTGTGCGTCTCTTTCATCTAGTTTTGATTCTTTTACGTGAAGGTTAAATAAGGAGATAAAAGAGAACATTTCTCTTCCTTCTTTCTTTTTTAACAGGATTATTATTTTTATAAAATAAATCATGAATCTATGTCAGAGTGTTTGGTCATGTCCATGTCGAAGGTTGGACTTTGTCTACGTGAGAATCTTTGATGATTAGGCTATGTCAAATTTTGGTGTGTTGTATTTGACAACATGTCGGATCCACATCCGTGCCATGTACGTGTCAAATCCATTTTCGACACAGGGACGTTGTTGTATGAAAGCACTTCCATGCTTTGTAGGTTTTAATCTTTTAGGAAAATGTGTTTCGGATCGTTAGATAATTTTATAAGTTGAAACAAATTTGTATTTTGAATTGGTTGTTTTGGACATTTAAAATGTGTGAACTTTTTAATTGCTCTAGAACACTCGATTTGAATCATGCTCTATTCTGGACAACCAATCCATAACGATGTTGATCAAAAAAGGTGTTTCTGAAATACATTTTTCCAAATTAGGTGTTCTAGATAAGTATTTTTCTAAAATAAGATGTTTTGGATTGGATACTCCAAAATGAATGATCCAAAAAATGATTCGACAAAGTAAAGATAATTTGGAAAGTTTATATATATATATAAAAGATGAGTGCATGACTAACAATGTCTAGTGCAAGAATCAATGAGAAAACATATGGATCTTTCTCGATTCTGGCCCCAATATGATAGTCTAATTGTCTTGGCTGATCCATAATGTATAATTCATAGATGACTTCCTAAATCCTAATTACAAAAACAACATAAGAGAGTTGCTTTATTTTCTTTTCTATCCATTTTACATCATTGAGCTTTGATGCTCTATATTGTAGACCCAAAAAATAAAAATGTTATTATGAAAACAATATAATCATCAAAATGGGTCAAATCTCATGAGTCAATTGGCTCAATATACATTTAAGTTAGATTAAATTATAAAAACTTATTTCAATTATAAATTTTTTTAGTCCGATCTACTTACAATCTAGTTCATCACGAGGATTTGCCTAATTTACTTTATACTTTTATCTTTTTATTTTCTAAAATATTAGGTTGTGATTATATATTTATATCATTAACTAAATTTTATACGTATTAATTATGAATTATAATAGTTAATGTCAATTATTTGTTAATGTTTTATCACTACTTTTAAATTATTTGATATTATTGAGGCTCGTTTTTTTTTGTTGACAATTTTGGATTTTATTGCTAATATAGTTATAATTCTAATATATGCAATTCAATGTTTGTTTTATAAAGTTCAAAGTTTTTTTAAAAAAAAAATTAAGTAAATCAATCGATTTTACATAACAATATGTGATGAATTCAATTAAATTATATCCTTTTAAAAATATCAAAAGGTGAGTCAGATTAGATTATTTTATCTATTGCTCAACTTGTAATGTGTCATTTGACTTCATTAAGTTGTAGAAAATAATAAACTTGACTATATTAAGAATTTAGAACATTAAAATATCTAATTACACTGTTAAAATGAAAAATTATTAATTTTATAATAACTATTATTTTAAAAATCATATTTGGACTGATTCAACTGATAGGATAAAATTATTTGTATAAAAATAAGAATATTTGGAAATGTTTTAATTATTTTAGGGTTTAGGGTTGTCCTAAAATTTCATTTCTTTCGAACCTCTAAAATTAACCAAGTGGTAGTACTTAAGTTCGATTTTTATTGGTTGTAGTCTTCCAAATAAATAATTAATCTCCGCTTTCCTTTTTGTAGATTCAACATCCCATTATAATGGTTTTCTTATTTTTATTTCCCTAGCGTAGTGAATTTTAGACAGTGCTGGAGCCTAATTCGCAGTGTTTTGGTGAATCACTAGTTTCCATTAAGCACTAAAAATTTTATTATAAAGTAGACTTTAAACCACACTTCTCTAATCTCTATTCTCAATCTTTTCATGTTATCCACGGAATATTCTTTAATCACTCACAAGGCTATGCTCACTTTGTACAAGAAGGAGATATATGATAATTCTTACGGCACTCTACAGTGGAAGATACACTTCCTTCAGGTCTACGTCAAATAGATACCCATAAATTCATGTTAAATTACCATGTCAAAAATATTCTCACCGTCACATGTGAAAACAAATATAATCAAGTCATTATAAAAGAAAAAAAATACACAATCTCCAAAAGCTCAACTGCATTTATAATACGAAATCATCTCATCATCTTGGGCTATAATTTTGTAACCTCCAAAAACTTTAGATTTGTTACCAACATTTCTTCTAAATTCTAATCGTACTTTTGCAAAAAAAGCATTCAATCCGTACTTAAACACAAGCTTTGGTTATTTTCCTTCGCAAGTAGCTTGGAATAAATTCTCCCGAAACATTATTAGGACATGCACTTGACTTGCGAAGTTCATCCAATTTAGTTGGTTATAAATCACATAATTGGTTCAATTGCAGCTCCTAATCCTATCCAAAAGGTTGATTATGTTAGTATAATCAGATTCAATTCATTCCGCCGTTCCCATAATGTCTGACCAAATTTTGAGATGACAAACATATAATAAAACATGAAAATGTAAAGACTAAAGACAATAATTATAAATGTAAAGGCAATTACTTAAAACATCTCTGGGCAGCAAAGGAGCAAAACTAAAACCCTATAGCTGCTTGTGCAAAAAGAGTTCTCATACAGACTATGAAATATAAAATGTTAAAACAGGACTCAGCACATAATGAAAACTCACCACCGCCGATCAAGAACCCAGTTTTGAAAGCTATGGCTGCATGAAAACGACAGACACATAAAACTATAAAAGGTAAAAGCACCTAGACTCTCAAAGGATAAATTACTGATAAGGAAACACTGTTTTGCGTAACCATAATTATAATTATGATCACATGTACTTTCAGAAACACAAAAATGCATTCACTTCTTCTTCTGTGCAGCCTTGGTGACCTTGGCTCCGGTGGGATCCTTCTTCTCCACATTCTTGATGACTCCAACAGCCACGGTTTGACGCATGTCCCTCACAGCAAAACGACCAAGAGGAGGATACTCGGCAAAAGTTTCAACCACCATGGGCTTGGTGGGAATCATCTTAACCAAACCTGCATCTCCATTTTTCAAGAACTTGGGTTCCTTCTCAAGCTCCTTACCAGATCGCCTGTCAATCTTGGTAATAAGTTCAGCAAACTTCACAGCAATGTGAGAAGTGTGGCAATCAAGCACAGGAGCATAACCATTTCCAATCTGACCAGGATGGTTCATGATAATGACTTGGGAAGTGAAGTTGGCAGCCTCCTTGGCAGGATCATCCTTAGAGTTTGAGGCAACAAAACCACGCTTGAGATCCTTGACTGCAACATTCTTCACATTGAATCCCACATTGTCACCTGGAAGGGCCTCTTGGAGAGCTTCATGGTGCATCTCCACAGACTTAACTTCAGTAGTCAGTCCAGTGGGACCAAAAGTTACCACCATACCGGGCTTCAAGACACCAGTTTCAACTCGTCCCACTGGCACAGTTCCAATACCACCAATCTTGTAGACATCCTGCAATGGAAGCCTCAGAGGCTTGTCTGAGGGTCTCTTGGGCTCATTGATCTGGTCAAGGGCCTCAAGAAGAGTTGGTCCCTTGTACCAATCAAGGTTGGTGGACCTCTCAATCATGTTGTCACCCTCAAAACCAGAGATGGGAACAAATGGAATCTTGTCTGGGTTGTAACCAACCTTCTTCAGGTAGGAAGAAACTTCCTTCACAATTTCATCATACCTAGCCTTCGAGTATTTTGGGGTAGTGGCATCCATCTGTTACAAACGTTTCATTTCTTACATAGTTAGAAAACAGCAACCAGATAAATACTCCAACATGCAGCAAGATATGTATGACAAAATAAGATGATTTATACCTTGTTACAGCAGCAGATCATTTGCTTGACTCCAAGGGTGAAGGCAAGTAGAGCATGCTCACGAGTCTGTCCATCTTTGGAAATACCAGCTTCAAAACCACCAGTTGTGGAATCAATGATAAGGACGGCACAGTCAGCCTGGGAAGTTCCAGTAATCATGTTCTTGATAAAGTCACGATGTCCAGGAGCATCAATGACTGTGCAGTAGTATTTGGTGGTCTCAAACTTCCACAATGCAATATCAATGGTAATTCCTCTTTCACGCTCAGCCTTAAGCTTGTCAAGCACCCAGGCATATTTGAATGACCTCTTGTTCATTTCAGCAGCTTCTTTCTCAAACCTCTCAATAACACGCTTGTCGATACCACCAAGCTTGTAAATCAAATGGCCAGTGGTAGTTGACTTCCCAGAGTCGACATGACCAATGACCACAATGTTGATGTGAACCTTCTCTTTACCCATGATATCTTAAACTGTAGAACACAACTCAAAAGTTTGAGTCAAACAGCACAACAAAATAATTTATCATCAAAGACAGTTACATCTTAATCGTCATGCAGAGAGATAAAACCAATCAACATTAAAAAGACTCCAATACACCATTCAGTGTTGCACCCATTATGTTTATAATTGGCAAACACAATAATTCAGCATTAAGAAACAAATTTCTAGCTTAATTTTCAAATACTTCATTTTCTTGTGTATGCATTGTATAAATTAGATACGGTAACAACCTAATATTAACATGAATTTCATACAACACAATCCAGCAATTATTTGTATGATTACACATAAATTACCAAGGGACCATTTGGTCTGCAAAACGGTTTTCTGATTTCCCTTTCAATTTCAAAGGTCTCACTAATTTTTACCTTGTTTCCTGTTGTTAAAAGTTATTATACAAAATTGTAGAAAAATTAAAAACAAAACAATAAAAAGTGTTTCTTGTAGATTGAAAAATAAGAAATGAATTAAAAATAATATAAATTTTCCGTAATTAAAAGTAAAAATAGAAAATAAAAACAAAAAATACTCAACCAAACAACCCTATCATGAATATCATAAAAAATTCTTTAAACCCAAAAAAGGACATGTCGCTGTACACCTTGGAAAGTAAACTCAAGGACAAAATCAATCAACAAAACTCTTCCAGGAAAAACATTTCCTTCACCAGATCAATGATCAACAACAAATTCCAGGCAAGCCTACCCATAATCAGAATCCAATATATACATATACATATATACATATATATATATATACACACATATATATGATATAAAATCAATTCACTTACTGGACCAAAAGTAGAATAAGAAATCAAAAGTTACACAGAATATAATCCTCTAGAAATTTCACAGATCCAGAATTCCCAGGCAACGCATAAACTAAAATAGCTCAATCAATATATCTCAGATTTCACCGTTTATCCATTAGATCTATGCAAAAAAGCAACCAGATTCAAACCAGAAAAACTAAACAATCGTAAATACCCCTTCACGGAATCATTTACAACAACCAAAAGAATCAAATATTACAAATCTAATCATAACACACACACACACACACAACAAGCTCAAGAATTTAACTAGACAACAATAGACACACAAATGAAACCGATGAAACATCATCAATTCAACATACGATGAACAAATTAATGAGCCCGTAATATTCTCAGAAAGAAAAACACACGAAAGAAACAGATCGAAGCGAAGCTTATACCTCAGAGAAAAACGATGCTCGAAACCCTCGGCCGCAATGCAGAGATTGAGCGATGGGTAAAGCAAGTGCAGAGTGAGGAGTGACATTAGGGTTTGGAGGATTTTATACCGAAGCACAAGCATTACAGTTCCGAAAACACCCTCGATTTTCTTTCATAATTCCATATGTGCCCCGCTTCTTTTATTTGATCATCGTTCACGCGCGTTGATGTGACGTGTGTCTGACACTCCGCGCTTTCGCAAAAGTATTGGCGAGTTTCTTTACACGCGCACCGGATCTGCCTATATTGTCTTTTTAGTGGTTTCGAAGGTGAGCTTACATGAGAGCAAAACCAAAAAATAAAAAAAATAAAAAGATGAAAAAAAGTATGACAGCAAGAGCATAAGGGCTGTATGTATGACTAATGCATGAATCCAAATTAATTCAAAGAGACTCAATGTATTTCAATGGGAAATTTTTAGTGTTTGGGCTAGTCAAGTCTTCTTGTTAGAAACCTATTTCTTAAGAATCTTTTTAAAAGAAATAAGTTTAAGAAGGATGAAGATTGATAAAGTTGATTTGAAAAATTGTAGGGTACTTATCTTTATTTTTGTAAGTTACTCTACCTTTGGAGGCTTATTCTATCTTAAATGACTCCTATTGTTGTTGGACATTGTTTTACTTGTAATTCAATTTAATAGTGATTGTATTAGGATAGTTTTGGCCTTGTATTCAAGGTCAAGTAGTGTAGGTAATTTTGTCTTTGTATTAATTAAAAGTGTAATTAGTATATTAAGGCATGTGTAACTAGCAAAGTCTTGTTAGAATTATTTGGATGTCCAAACCATGTCAAGTTTTCCATCCAAGCTACAAATTAAGTCGTATGGCTTTGATAATAACATCTCAACAAACTTGTTAAAAGTAATTATTAGTCTAGTAGTTGTAATGATTAGGTTAAATAGTTGAAGTTAAATTTATGCTAACCTAGGTTATTCTTAAATTAGGATTATCTCAGCTTGCTTTATAAGCTTCTAAACAACTAACTAGATTTGTATACATTTAACTAAAGTTAGTTAACTTAAGTACAAGATATCTAACCATGGTTACACTTAACCATGGTTAGTCTAGCTTACACCATAACTCATCTAAACTCTATATATTGAAGTTCTATGAAAGAACACATAGAAAGGGGAGTTGAATATGTATGTGTGAACAAAGGAATTTTAAAACGTTTTCGCAAGGAACTTCTTCTTCGTCCAATAAAAATATTACTTTGAGCGTTTAATTGAAACTGGCAAGATTGGTTTCAACAAAAATCTTTGCGTCTGAGAATTTATCGTCTGCACAGGAAAAATGTTTTTTAAACGAAAACCATTCTTTAAGATAGTTCATTAAACAGGTGTGGGTTTCGTCTAAAGATAGTTGTGGTGGACGATAAGCATTGGACGAAGTTTTCAGTATAGTAATTCGACTAAATAAAAGTGCTTCTGAAACATTGGAAAATAATGTAAGTATTTTTATACTGGTTCACTCAAACTGAGCTACGTCCAGTCTCCTTCAAATGAAGGGTTCTACTAGATATTCAATGAAGTACGAGTATTATTTGTTCAACCTTTTCAGGCTCGTAGTGAGTATTATAGACCACCCAGGTCACGACCACTCCTAGTCGGCCAACTTCACTCATTGGCTATAGTATTCTTTAATCAGCCTTTTCAGGCTAGTAGTGAATATTATAGACCACCCAAGTCACGACCACTCCTGGTCCCAAGTATTCTCAACCACTCCTGGTTTGTCAACTTCACTCGTCGACGCTAGTATTATTTGTTCAGTCACTTCTGGCTTTCAATGAGTATTATCAACCGACTCCTGGCCCACTAACTTTACCATTAGTGCTAGTATTCTTTGATCAGCCACTTCTGGCTCGCAGTGAGTATTCTTTAATAAGTCTCTCCAGGCTTTTACAAATATTCGTTCCCTAGTCTCTTCAGGCTTTACAAATGATAAATAGATGTTTTAGTTTGAGTGTTTGGGTTACTCTCACAGAGAGGATACAAAGGTTTACTACACTCACTAAGGTATGCAACCTTAGTTTTACAACGATTGAGTGTTTGGTTTACTCTCACAGAGAGGATACATATATTTGTACACTTACTAAGGTTTATGTTCCTAAGTTACATTTGGAACTCCTTAGTCTACAGAGATAAATACACTATGGTACATTTGACTCTACATGCTCTATCTCTATTTTTGTTGCTTCATGGGCTTGATATCACTCTTTTTCAATGCCAAAAGCCAACCTCTCAAGGTTTGAAGTGATGATCTATATATAGTCTTGCAGAATTTGCCCATTGCAAGTGTTCGTTGAAGCAGATGTAGTCGTTCATGACTAGTTTGATCTTTCATTTAATGCTCAAGATTTTGCATTAAATGTTGCTTCTTTTTCATAGACATTGCGTGAAGTTTTCTTTGCCTTGTTAGTAGTAGTGTCTGAGTTTAGTAGAGACCTATGAACCTTTTTGTCCTTTTCCGGTCATATAACTGTAGAGCGTTGTCCTTATATGAAAAAGTAATGTACTTTTTCTAACACATGCATGCTTTTACTTTTGCATGCTTTTCTTCTTCTTCTTTTCCTTTAATCACACGATCATTTTAAGAGCTTTTGTATGATCGTAGACGATGCCTGAGTAGTCCTTTGAGACTTAATTCTTTGAGTGCTTGCGTGGCAATCTTCGTCTGCGTTTGTTAGTCCTATGCATCTCAATTTGTGATCTTCATCTGAGCATTTGACACTGATGTTTTGACTTTCTTTTAGTCTGGTCAACATTGTATATGGACAGACATTATTTCCGTCTAGAACACTTTTCAGTCTGTGCTAGCCTTTAGCTGATGCATAATTAACTTTCTTCTGAATTTTATAGAAGTTGACATTTAATTTTTTATTACTAATGTCAAATTATTCATTATTTAAAATTTGAAATATTTGTATTTATTATAATTTATCGTAAATATTTAATATTAATATATTAGCAAGTTATTAAAATATATCAAATTGGAGTAGTTAGTTTGACATGAAAATGATTTAGTGATTAATTATTCAAAACTCAAATTCAAGTGATAAAAAATAAGTTGAATTGACCTAATAAGCCAAAATTAGAAAATTAAAGTGATTTCTAAAAATGGTTTTAATTAGTCACTTTTTATGTATCCCTACAACTAGCTAAACAATATTTTTCCCAATCATCAATCTCCATTACTCTTACTGTTTTTCATTTTTATTTCTTTTTATTTACTTTTATTAACAACATATTCGTTTATGTATATATAAAAAAAAAATCTTGTCACAATTTAAATTATGTATTATAAATATATAAGCTTAAAATATATTTTTTATATTTTTAATATTCATTTTTATCAAAAATAGAATAATTATTTTTAAAAATCTTAATTATAGTTTTATTTATAAATATATAAATACTGATTTATTAAAAAGTATATTTTCATTATATAAAAATATTTATTATATATAATACACAAACTAAAATACTCAATGAATAAAAATAATTAAATTTATAATTTTATTTCAATATTAAGATTAACCATTTTTTTCTAAGGTTAACTTTATTATTGATTTATCCTATCGCCTATAATATAAATATTAAAGAATTCAAATTTGAATAAAGTTAAACTAGCATAAATAATATTTTTGAATAATAATTATTATTAAATTTGGAAATTTAATTGAATCAAAAATTTGAAAATGATGTTATCTTTTATTGATAAAATTATAAAAAAAATTTAAACTAGAATAAATTTTTGTTCTGATTAAAATTGAGCATTTAGAAGGTTAAAATAAATATAATTACCATATTGTAGTTTTTCTTTATTATTAATTTAGTCTTTTACCTATAATAATAATATTATGAAAATTAAATTTGGAATGAAATTCATTCAAAATTTTGAAATTAGAATAAAATTTTTGTTCCAAGTGAGAATTGAGCCTTACACCTTTAGAATGTTAAAATAAATATAGCCATTACACTAGAGTTAGTTTTCATGATTATGTACAATTTTAAATCTATACAATTATTAGAAAGATATCTTTTGAGTAACTTCCTTAGTTTTTTTTATATGGACTATTTTACTTTTTTAAAATTTTATTTAAAAATCTAAATTATTTTTTCTTTCTCAATATCTTTTTTGTAACAACCCAAATTTTCACTGGGCCGTGGGCCCAATTCGTTGTCTGGAACGGGCCGTTTTGAAAGTGAAACGGGCCGTTCTGGAATAAAGAAATTTCCTAAAAAACGTAGTTGAGAACGGGTCATTCCGGTTGGAGAACGAGCCGTTCTGGTTTGGAGAACGGGCCGTTCTGAAAGTAGAACGGGCTGTTCTGCTGGGATTGAGAACGGGCCGTTCCGGTTTTAGAACGGGCCGTTCCAGTTTTTGAACGGGCTGTTCCAGTTGAGATTTTTGCTTGGTTCTGGAGGGTCCAGAATGGCCGTTCCACTTTTGGAACGGGCCGTTGCGAGTTATGTAACACCATGGAAATACCAAGCTATTTAGTATATATGCATGTATGTATATGTTATTTATATGGATTTGGATTGGATTATGGATATGTGGATTTGAAATGTACTTACCTCTGTGCATGTTGTATGTTGATGTGGTTTTGATTAGTTGTTTAAGCATAATAGTGATTTTGTAGTATGAGATGAAAGGTTTATATAGGCATGTGTGTGCATGAATTTGGTGAATGATGCATTGTACACCATTATACTGAATTGGTACTAAGAGGGAAGAAGA